CGGTGGTAAAAGCCTCTGGAACCTCCTTGATAATGGCACTCGTCTCACCCAGTCCACACCGCGTCTGGCGCCAACATGAATCTCCACGGGCTGTAGGGTCCACGATATTGGCGTCGGCGACAGCTGGTCTGCGTGACAACTCCTGAACTTAAACTATGTCCTTAAGCAGCTCGTAGCTTTCCCTTCGACTGTCTCTGCTCAATTTTCCAGTGTGGGGAAAACAAAAGACCATACATGTGAATTTTGTCCGATAACAATCGTCGGGTTGACAATCTCTCAGGCAGTACACATTCACCAAGCCTCTCCTATTCTCCCGACTGTCCAGTCGCGGGTTTTTTCTCATCTCACTCACACCAAGATGCTCTCACAGTACTTCCGCTTACAGATTTGCACAATAAGATACCATAAGGTACGAAACAGTTCTTTTAAACTTAGTAGTCTCATTTTAAACAATATTAATATCAACTCTCTTAAAGTAACATGTTTTAAACCACTGATTTTACATCAATGAACTTAGGTAATTTATTAAACATCCACTTCTATGAGGTCGAATATTTTAACTGGGTTACATTAGTTTTTATAATATATGTTATGGTTGTATAGAATGTGAAAATAAAATGACACAAAAGCATGGTTAGAAGTCATCTCAGCAGCTGTTCTACTTTGTTTTGTTTTGATAACACTGCATGTGTTTTTGTGAGTTGCTCAAACTTAATCATAATTAGATGTTTATTTTGAGCACAAGAAGAGGCTAATGACATGCTCTCTATGGATTAAATTAATGTCCTTATTAGAGCAGGGTCAAAATGACTTTCTCTGTATCAGCGGGAAGCTTTGGGGATTGATGAGGAAAGTATATCTTCCACTGTCCAGGGGTCACACATGCAGCCGTCTGGCTGCTAAATTTAGATGCAGAATCAATGAGAACTGCTGCTAAGAAATCCTGAAGAGAACATCATGTAAGCAATGTTGACTGACTTTTATTTTCTATGTTGGAACTTACTGAGAATATATTTTATATACAATGAAATATTCTCATCCAACTGGCATGAACATTATGATTGTCTCTGTTGAGGTCTAATGTTCAATATGATATGATTCCCCTGTTCTTTAGACTGGAGAGCTTTTAGGCAGAGGCCGTCCTCCAATATACATCCTGTGGAGTTCAACTATGTCATTTCTCAGGACTGTTTTCAATGACTCTGTTATCATTCATCCTCCAGGCTTCTATATTATTGGATTACAGACATTACCCTACATCAGTGTGTACATCATCTTTCTAGCATTTGTTTATGTGGTTACAGTGCTGTTTAACAGTTTGGTGATCTATGTAATTGTCTTTAATCATTGTTTACACACTCCAAAATTTATGGCTGTGGGCAACCTCGCAGTAATTGATGTAATCCTAAGCACAAGTATTATTCCGAACATGATAAAATTATTTCTCCTGAAGGATAACTTTGTTCCATTTAACTTGTGTTTTGTACAAATATATGTTCATTATGCTTTTGGTGCTTTGGAGTCATTTGCTCTTGCTATACTTGCCTATGACAGGTTGATTGCAATATGTTTCCCTCTGCGTCAGAACTCAATCAACACACTGCGGAGCATGTCTTATATTATTGGTCTAATTTGGTGTTTTAGTCTGGGAATCGTGGCATATGGAACAGGTCTGATGACTCGATTATCTTTTTGCAGTTCCCTCAAAGTGTTTGGTTATTTCTGTGACTATATACCTGTGTTTACACTCGCCTGTAATGATTACACAATGCAGTGGACTATGGCCACTTCACTTACATTTCTGATGCTCGTTGTACCCTTTACTTTAATTTGTCTGTCTTATGTCAGCATCCTGGTGACTGTGTTCAGGATGAAATCTTTAGACAGTCGAGTTAAAGCTTTGGCTACTTGCACTGAACATGTCATCCTTGTTGCTGTATTTTACATTCCTCTCATTACCATTTATAATATTTCACTTTATCTGCATTTCATTGATGAGGACCTACCACACCTAAGCATGTCTCTGGCCTCTTGCACCCCACCCTGTGTCAATCCTATTGTATACTCTTTGAAAACCAAAGAGATCAGAAACAGAGCCCTGGCACTGGTAAGAAAAATTAAAATCACCACAGATAAAATTAAGAAAAGAAATCGGAGAGGTGCAACAACAAAAATGTAGGCAAGAAATATTTATGTAAAGCGAAGAGCAAAAAAAATGTTAATTTTAAGAAAACCATAACCCTGCCGCTGCTCATAAGAAATAAAAATGGCACACAACTCTGCTTCATTCATTATTTATAATGTATTATCTGGTTTTCTATGGTTTTAGTTATTTCCAATATTTTTAAATGAAAATACATGTGTAAGATTTCATTGATTAAGTTATTGTACTTTTAATGCTTGAATGATTTTTTTAGATATACTAAATTCCTGCCTCATCATATTGAAATTGCAGCAGCTGTACTTTCAGTTCTACTGTTTGACAAACTAATAAAATGAAGAAAAGTATACGTCCACAAGGATGGACACAGTCTAGAGAATGGAATTATGATGACTGCCTCCCCTCTAGTGTGTTAATGTTTTCATTACAAGCTGAACCATTAATGGGACATGTCATTATTGACTGCATTACGAGGTCTACAGATACACTTGAAAAATTAGAAATCCACTGATTAACAAATTACTAAATTTTAATTGACTCAGTTCTGTCAGAAGATATTTTCTAGCTGCCTGTGAATAGAGGGGACACGATGTCAGTCTAGTCCTATGCTGTAAAATTATTTAAGCTGTTTCACATGTACACATTCATCCTCAGCCCAAGAACATCCTACACAAAAAGACGAGTGATAGTGTTGATATAAAAAGCTCATAGTTACAAGTGTTATAAATACGTTGTTTCTGGGTCCTTACTGAACAAAATTCACTGGGCACAGATAAAATACAAGGTATTATCAAGAATGAATCAATGAGAACTGCTGCTAAGAAATGCTGAAGAGAACACCATGTAAGCAATGCTGACACAGTGTATCACACTAGCTATTCATCTGTAGTATCTGTGTTGTTTTCTGCCTATAACTTTATTTTATATATCTTTGCCTAAAGCAACTTTTTCCTGCTGTCCTATAATAAATAATTAATTTTGATGCTCATGGTCGACTATCTCAGTTTTGTCAGTCCCTGATATCAAACTCTCTTACATCATTTCTGCTGGGTCTTCCCAAGGCCGGATTAACACAAGGGCTAACTAGGACTGAAACCCATGGCCTAGGGCCCCAAATTTTAGGTTTGGTCAAATACAATATTCACAGTATAACTGCTCCCTTCTATTAGCTGTTTTAAATTAGTTTACTTTCCTGTATTTCTTGATATTACTTTGCTTTGATTGGTTTGCGTGTGTCCAGCGGGAGGGCTGTAAAGTGTCAGAAGTCAACTGTCAATCCCATCAATCATCAGTTATCTAAACGTCATGAGGGTAGACAACAGGCGTTAGAGCAGCAGCAATGTGCAAATAAAGGAGGGGGGAATATGACTGGGAGTCTACTACCACATTTGGCTGTTCTCATTAGGGGTCGCCACAGCAAATTAACTGTTTGCATGTATACATTTGGCACAGGAACATGACTGGGAGTACCCTCTGCGTCAGAACTCAATCAACACAATGCGGAGCATGTCTTATATTGTTAGTTTGACTTGGTGTTTTAGTCTGGGAATCATGGCATATGGAGCAGGTATAATGACTCAATTGTCTTTTTGCAATTCCCTCACAGTGTTCAGTTATTTCTGCGATCATTCAGCTGTGTATAGACTCGCCTGCAATGATTACACAAGGCAGTGGACTTTGGGCACTTCAGTTACTTTCTTGATTTTTGTTGTACCCTTTACTTTAATTTGTCTGTCTTATGTCAGCATCCTGGTGACGGTGTTCAGGATGAAATCTTTAGACAGCCGAGTTAAAGCTTTGGCTACTTGCACTGAACATATCATCCTTGTTGCTGTATTTTACATTCCTGTCATTACCATTTTTAATATGGCACTTCTTCTGCATTTCCTTGATGAGGACCTGTCATTGTTAAGCCTGTCTCTGGCCTCTTGCACCCCACCCTGCATCAATCCTATGGTATACTCTTTGAAAACCAAAGAAATCAGAAACAGAGCCCTGGCACTGGTAAGAAAAACTAAAATTGGCACAAATTAACATAAGGAAAGACATTGAAGAGGGGTAACAAGAAAAATGTATAAAAGAAATGTTTGTGTAAAGGGAAGAGCAAAAAAAAAATCTTTCTACCAATATAACCACTATCCCTCCTCTGCACATGTCCAAACCATCTCAATCTGGCCTCTCTGACCTTGTCCCAAAAAACAGCCGACCTGAGCTGTCCCTCTGATGTGCTCATTCCTAATCCTGTCCATCCTGGTCACTCAAGAGAACCTCAACATCCTCATCTCTGCTACCTCCATCTCTGCCTCTTGTCTTTCCCCCCCCCCAAAAAAACTCTTACTCTTGGCTTGATGACCTGAGGCTAAAACACATCTGTGCCTGCTGTGTCAAATTTAATTGTACTGATATGTGTTCAGTTGAGGGGCATGCACTTACTTGTAAATGCAGGATCAGATGTTAAGATTTTGTATTGTAACATATGTATAACATCCAGCAGTGCCTCTAAACCCCAGTATGTTTTTTAACTGAACACTCTGTAAATGCTGGAGAGTCAGAGCTGGCGTCTAGAACAATCTGGCAGCATCTTTGTGGGAGGACCCTGCCTAAATAGAGGTGAACACAGGTGCAGGTAATAAGGAGCAGGTGAAACTAATCTGAGTAAGGAAGAAAGTAAAAAAGACCTAAGCTATGGTGAAACAAAACAGGAAGTAGAATCAAAATAAAAGCCTGACAGGAAACAGCGGAACTGAATCGTGACAGCGCTCTAGTGTTTCAACACTTATGGTACAAGCTGAACCACAAATGAGACAAATCACTAAACTATAACAGCACTACAAATGAAAGCAGAAAGGAAAACTCCCTTCAAGGGAAGTAACCTCTGACAGACCTTCTTGGTTGACTGTTGCGCTGCCTTGGAGTGAGTGGATACATTTTGTATGTTATTTTATGCTTAAAGTAAATCTTATAGTTGAATAGCATGTGAAAACAGAGTGACGCAGAAGCAGGTTTACAACTCGTTTCAGCAGCTGTGCTACTTTGTTTTATTGCATGTATCTATATTTATAAAATACCTGGTGTGAGATGTTCAGACTTACCGTGCCTCAACAGCATAGCAGTACAAAATAAAAACGCATCAGACAGCGCTGGTTAATTTAAAGGAAAAGATGTTCAACCATGAACCCAACGTACTACACACCAACCATATTCCACAGAATCAACTGAGTACTGTATGTACAATGCTTTTCAAATAGTCATAAAATTAAAAAAATCGAATATTTCATGCGAATTGAATATTTCATGTGGCTGTGGATCACGAGGTAGGGCAAGTTGTCTTCTGACCAGCAAGTTGGTGGTTCGACTCCCAGTCTCCCCACATGCCTAAGTGTCCCTGAGCAAGACACTGAACCCCGAATTACTCCCGGTAGCTTGACTAGCGCCGTTGTGTGACTTGTCATCATCAGTGTGTGAATGGGTGAATGGTGTCTCCTGTAAAGCGCTTTGGCCAGTGCAACACACTGTGCAAAATGCGCTATATAACTACAGTCCATTTATTGTGGTTTTCTCTTTGTAAAGAGTTGTCTCTTGCCGCACTTGCTTTTACCAGCACCAGGCAATAACACCATAATGAGATCAGTCTATCATTTTACTGCAGCGCCAAATACAATCAGCAGAAACATGCAGAGACTACAGCCATCAAGGAAAATGGGAGAAAAATTCATTCATTTCAGTACGTTTCATTTGTGAGAAACTTCATGGTTCCTCACAAGATACAAAAGAGATTTGTGTGGCATTGGTGTGGATGGCAAAGTAAGAATTTCATTGTACAGGGAAACATGCTTTTCTCACTGTGCATATGACAATAAATACTTGACCTTGACATCACAACCTATGTTAAGTGAAATTAAAAGTGTGAAGGGAACTCAATGATTCAGAGACATTGAAGACCTGCAATGTTTAAACGTACAAATTTAAAACAAAAAAGCATAATAAGTATGATGGATTTGTCACCTAATTAAACTTTGTCACCTAATTAAGCCAGAGCTAAATGCAGGGGAGTTGGTGGAGTGGAAGTTAGAAAATTTAGTTGGAATGGCAGGTCAGGTTCTAATTGGTAGAACAGTTAATGGGTGCAATGGAGATGAATTAGTCCCAAGTTGAAACAATAAAGGGTTTGTTTGTTTCAGCAAAGATCATTAACCAGAATTCTCTGGTGAAAGCAAGATAAACTGGGCCCATTACAACGATGGCATGTTAAACGATAAATCTACCTTTAGGGAACAATATGTTGTTTCCTCAATTCGCATAACCTAAGTCTACAAAGCATTTTGTTAGTTTCTGCAATAAAGTTATATCTTGTGGTTACGTTACATGTAATAACAGACAAAAGCAGGTTTGGACATCATCTCAGCAGCTATACTACTTTGTTTTGTTTTGTTTTGTTTTGATAAGTTTGCATGTGTATGTTTTAATAGAATTGGTGTGAGATGCTCAAACTTACTGAATCATAATTAGATGTTTGTTTTGAGCACAAGAAGAGAATAATCTGATGCTCTCAAAGGATCGAATTAATGTCCTTAATACAGCAGGGTCAAAATGATTTCTTCTGTATCACAGGGAAGCTTTGGGGATTGATGAGGAAAGTATATCTTCCATTGTCCAGGGGTCACACATGCAGCCATCTGCCTACTGCTTTTAGATGCAGAATCAGTGAGAGCTGCTGCTAAGAAATCCTGAAGAGAACATCATGTAAGCAATTCTCACTGCTTTTTACTTGGAATGTTAGAACTTACTGAGAATACGTTTTATATGAAATGAAATAAGCTTATCAAACTAGCATGAACATTGATTGTTGTCTCTGTTGAGGTCTAATGTTCAATATGATATGATTGCCCGGTTCTTTAGACTGGAGAGCTTTTAGGCAGAGGCTGCCCTCCAACACACAGCTTGTGGAGTTCAACTATGTCATTTCTCAGGACTGTTTTAAATGACTCTGTTATCATTCATCCTCCAGGCTTCTATATTACTGGATTTCAGACATTACCCTACATCAGTGTCTACATCATCTTTCTAGCATTTCTTTATGTGGTTACAGTGCTGTTTAACAGTTTGGTGATCTATGTAATTGTCTTTAATCATTGTTTACACACTCCAAAATTTGTGGCTGTGGGCAACCTCGCAGTAATTGATGTAATCCTAAGCACAAGTATTATTCCCAGCATGATAAAGGTTTTTCTCATTAAGGATAACTTTGTTCCATTTAACATGTGTTTTGTACAGATGTACAGTTACTATGCTTTTGTGACTTTGGAGTCATTTTCTCTTGCTATACTTGCCTATGACAGGTTGATTGCAATATGTTTCCCTCTGCATCAGAACTCAATCAACACTCTGCGGAGCATGTCTTATATTATTGGTTTGACATGGTGTTTTAGTCTGGGAGTCATTGCATTTGGAACAGGTATAATGACTCAATTGTCTTTTTGCAATTCCCTCACAGTGTTCAGTTATTTCTGTGATTATTCACCTGTGTTTAGGCTTGCCTGTAATGATTATACAATGCAGTGGACTGTGGGCACATCAGTTACTTTCTTGATTCTTGTTGTACCCTTTACTTTAATTTGTCTGTCTTATGTCAGCATCCTGGTGACTGTGTTCAGGATGAAATCTTTAGACAG